GATTCAAGTAGTAGGAGAGGCAGTAGTAGCATTATTAGTAAGATTATTAGTAAGTGTTACTAGTATTATTAGTGTTGGGTTTTAGGCCTGTTCCTGGGATTCTTTGAGGCATGGATTCAGAAAATTGGAATAGATCGACCCCATTAGTAGTATTAGTATTATTAGTAAGTATTATTAGTTTTATTAGTATTACTATTTCTTAGTGTTGGTTTTTAGGCCTGCTCTTGGGGTTCTTTGAGGCGTGGATTCAGGAAATTGGATTGGCTAGACCACATCAGCTGTAGTTTCTTAGATGTAGCTAAGTTATTTTGAAACTGCATTTATTTGGAAACGTAGATCCAATCAAGGGCCCCATTTACACTGCCATGTCATGCAGTTTCAAACTGTATTGTTGTTGTTGTTGTTGTTGTTATTATTATTATTGGAATCAGCAGGTCAAATATACCCAGAGATAGGGCTAACATTTGCTCAAGTCTGTGCCGTCCACTCTTTTAATAATAATAATAATAATAATAATAATAATAATAATAATAATAATAATAATAATAATAATTTTATTAACTATTTTTACTCGGAAAGAAGTCCTCTATAGTCAGCGGTGCTTCCTTTGCGAATATTTCCTCTGATTAATGCTGGATCAACACTGCAATATAATTCAGTCAGAATGCAGATTAATTGGACTGAATTATGTGGCAGTGTAGAGTCCTATAATCCAGTTCAATGCAGCTAATCTTGCATTATTATTATTATTATTATTATTATTATTATTATTATTATTATTATTATTCCGCCCTATCTCCCCGAGAGGACTCAGGGCGGATTCCAGCATATACAGACACAAAGGTAAACATTCAATGCCTAGAAACCAAGAAACAGATATAAAGATAAAGGTAAAGACTTCCCCCTTTAGGCTTATATAGTCAATAGGGACTCATGTAGTTTAACTGTATGACATGTACACTATGTACACTAACAATATGACGCTATTTCCAACTATGGGTACTATAGTTAGTGAAGAGGTGTATTTTGACACCGCTTTAATTCTCATGTATCAATGCGATGGAATCCTTGGAATTGTAGTTTTCCTAGGGCCCTTCCACGCAGCCATATAACCCAGAATATTACGGCAGAAAATCCAATTATATATGCTTTGAACTGGGTTATCAGAGTCCACACTGCGGTATATTCCAGTTCAAAGCAGAAAATGTAGGATTTTATTCAGCTGTGTGGAAGTGACCGCAGAACCCTTCCACACAGCCATGTAATCCAGAATATCAAGGCAGAAAATCCCACAGTATCTGCCTTGAACTGGGTTATTTGAGTCCATACTGCTGTATATTCCAGTTCAAAGCACACAATGTGGGACTTTATTCTGCTGTGTGGAAGGGACCCCAGAGCCATTCCATACAGCCAGATAACCCACTACAAAGCAGGTATTGTGGGATTTTTCTGCCTTGATATCTTGGGTTAAATGGCTGTATGGGTTATCTGAGTCCACACTGCCATATATTCCGGTTCAAAGCAGAAAATGTAGGATTTTATTCAGCTGTGTGGAAGTGACCGCAGAGCCCTTCCACACAGCCATGTAATCCAGAATATCAAGGTAGAAAAACCCACAGTATCTGATTTGAACTGGGTTATTTAAGTCCACACTGTCATATATTCCAGTTCAAAGCACACAATTTGGGACTTTATTCTGTTATGTGGAAGGGACCCCAGAGCCATTTTACACAGCCAGATAACCCACTTCAAATCAAGTATTGTGAGATTTTTCTGCCTTGATATCTTGGGTTATATGGCTGTATGGGTTATCTGAGTCCACACAGCCATATATTCCGGTTCAAAGCAGAAAATGTAGGATTTTATTCAGTTGTGTGGAAGGGGCCTTAGTCCTTTCATCTTCTCTACTAAGAGAGTGTTTGTGTATTGTCGAAGGCTTTCATGGCCGGAATCACTGGGTTGTTGTAGATTTTTTCCGGGCTGTATGACCATGTTCTCGAGGCATTCTCTCCTGACGTTTCGCCTGCATCTATGGCAAGCATCCTCAGAGGTTGTGAGGTCACCTCACTACCTCTGAGGATGCTTGCCATAGATGCAGGCGAAACGTCAGGAGAGAATGCCTCGAGAACATGGCTATATAGCCCGAAAAAACCTACAACAACCCAGAGTGTTTGTGATTCGGGATGCCATAGCATTGATTCTTCAATCCACATGAAGTCTTCAAAGTAGGAAATATTGCTGAAGGTTAAACTCCACCTCCAGGAGCAGACTGGATCTACACTGTCATATAACGCAGATTGGACTGTCTTATAGGTTTTTACAACGACCCTGTAACTCAGCTCAAACTGCATCCAAATCAAATCGGAGGTTGGGGTGAGCTGGGACCGGGGAGTTCTGACCTTTGGAATGTCGGCGCGGGTGAGTGACGTTAACCAGGACATTAAAGCCACCACAACAGGGAGATAATGTCTTTGTTTCTCCTCCTCTTTTCCCGCGGCAGAACGAAATTTTGAAAAGCACGGTGGGCAGCAACGACAAGAAAACCAAAGGACGGACTGGCTGGCCGCAGCACGTTTGGGCTTTGGAGCTCAAGCAGTGAGGGAATCGCATCGGAAGAGGAGGAGGAGGAGGAGGAGGACTCTCGTGTTGATGTTTTGGACTCGTCTGGTTTATTTATGTGCAATTTCCCTCCCCCTTGTCTCCCTTTGCAAGAAGAAGGAAAAGAATCACAAGCAAGGACATGTGGATAATCTGGGAAGGAAAAATTAAAAAAGCATTCCGTCTTGGAGCAAGAGGAAAACGGCGGCGGGGTAAGAAAAGGGGAATGTGGTCTCTCCAAAAGATAGTGGTTGAATTTGCCTCTCTTTCCCCCTCCTGCTCTGAATGTTTCTTTTCTTTGTATAGGACACACACACACACACACACACACACACACACACACACGAGGGGGGATAGTCCCGAAGGCAGTCATTCGTTTGCTATGTGAAGTGTATCTGTTGTAATCCTCGGAGGAAAGTGTTTGGAAGGGGAGATCCATTCAAAATCCTCTCTTTCCCCACCCCAAATGTCTGTGTCTTGGGTTGTAGATAGGACTTCAGTGTTGTGGTCGCTCTCTAGTTGGAAGAGAAACAAAAAAGATTCTCTGAACCGCTCTTTGTTCATTCATTCAATGTGCACTTCGATCCTCTTGGGGGAAAAAAATTAAAAACAAGGATCATGATCATGGTCATTCAATGTGGAGTCGAATTCATATCGAAAGGTGTAAACCCTGTACCTACTCAATAAACCACTGTGTGTGTTATTTTTTACTAAAAAACCATATCTTTAAGTTGTTCTCCCGACAAAAAAGTTTGAAAACAAAGCACCCAGTTTTGAGTGCCAATAAGGTCTGGAAAACCATTGGCCAGGTGGAGGTGGGGTCTAAAGGGGAGATCCTGTTGGAAATGTGACTTTTGGGACTACAGATCCCAAAAAGGATGGTCGAGAAGATCGATTCTGAGAGTTGTAATCCAATGAGCGGCTTTGGTGTGAACATTGACACTGAATTTCTGTGAAGTTGGGGCTGGGTCTACTCTACCATGGGATGCAGTTTGAAGGGCACCAAACTGTATTATAATGGTCTTATATTGAGCATATACTGCAGTTTGAATGGCACTGAACTGTATTATATAAAAGTCTTCCACACTGACAATATAATGCAGTTTGAATGGTACTGTATGGGTTTTCCATAGCGAGCATATACTGCAGCTTTAATGGCACTGAGCTGTATTCTAGAATTTCAGTAAATTCTGTATTATAGAACTGTATTATTATTATTATTATTATTATTATTATTATTATTATAAAAGTCTTCCACACTGACCATATAATGTAGTTTGAATGTCACTGAACTGTATTATATAGGTCTGATATTGAGCATATAATGCAGTTTGAATGGCACTGAACTGTATTATAGAATTTCACTTTATATTGTGTTATAGAACCATATTATTATTATTATTATTATTATTATTATTATTATAGAAGTCTTCAACACTGACCATATAATGCAGTTTGAATGGCACTGAACTGTATTATAGAAGTTTAGTAAATACTGTTTTATAGAACTGTATTATTATTATTATTATTATTATTATTATTATTATTTATAGAAGTCTTCCACACTGACCATATAATGCAGTTTGAATGGCACTGAACTGTATTATATAGGTCTTCCATATTGAGCATTTGCTGCAGTTTGAATATCACTGAACTGTATTCTAGAAGTTCAGTAGATACTGTATTATAGAACTGTATTATTATTATTATTATAGAAGTCTTCCACACTGACCATATAATGCAGTTTAAATGGCACTGAACTGTATTATATAGGTCTTCCATATTGAACATATACTGCAGTTTGAATGGCACTGAACCGTATTCTAGAAGATTATTATTATTATTATTATTATTATTATTATTATTATAGAAGTCTTCCACAGTGACCATATATTGCAGTTCGAATGGCACTGAACTGTATTATATAGGCCTTCCATATTGAGCATTTACTGCAGTTTGAATATTATTGAACTGTATTATATGAGTCTTCTATAGAGCATATATTGCAGTTTGAATGGTACTGAACTGTATTATACAGGTCTTCCATATTGAGTATATAATGCAGTTTGAATGGCACCGAACTGTATTATATAGGTATTCCTTGGAATTGTAGTTTTCCATATTGAGCATATAATGCATTTTGAATGGCACTGAACTGTATTATATAGGTCTTCCACACTGACCATATAATGCAGTACCAACAGTGTAAATCCAGCCATACTTTTCCTTGAAAGTGGGCAAATGAGCAATGAGAAATGTTATTTCTTACAGAGAATAAGGAATGAGAAATTCTTTAGAAAGCTATGGAGAAAGGGAGATCCGAAATATATTTTCCCCAGTAATTAATTCAGAAATCTGGTGACAGATGCGGTTAATGGGACCATTACTTGTTATTTTTATTTTGTGTGTGTGTGTGTAAAGATTTGCCAAATGGGCTTGATATTCACTTTGTGGTTCCTCAATCCTTTGCTTCTGGGATGTTGTTGGTGCCTTGCAGCCTGTCTTCAGAAGGGGGGTGCTCTTGGTTTCTCTGCCCTAAGGTTTAGTGGGATGGGTGAAAGGGTAAGCTAGAAAGTATCTTCCCTCTCCAATATATCTTTCTTTTCAGATAACCGGGGCACATCGGCCACTTAGGCGGTATAGTGTAGATCTGTCCCAGGATGCCCTTTCCACATCAGAAAGGTTGTGGGATTACAACAACTGGGGTAAATGGCAAGTTGCTCTGATCTTGCCTTTGGGTTAGCTTTTTGCTCCTGGAAAGAACTGCTTCTTCAGCTAAACTTTGTGGATTCCAATCTAAATTATACTCAGTCCAGCTGATATGGAGCCACCACCAATGTTGTTCTTGCTGTTGTTGTACGCTTTCCAGTCATTTCTGATTTATGGTAACCCTACAGCTGGGACTGTCATATGATTTAAGGGGTCTGTTCACAAACACATGCTCATCTACACTGATAATTTAATGCAGTTCAAAGCAAGCTTCAAATTGTGGGGGTCAGAAAACCAAGATTTACTATGTAATTATGTGTCACTCTCTTCAATACCGATTTGAAACTGCATTAAATTATCAGTGTAGATGGGGCCACAATTAGAGTGAAATATTCCACTTCAGCAGCCAGTTGGAAACCTGGAATTTGCCATTTGCAGGGGTTGAGAATTGTAAACTTCTTGTTATCCTCATTTTCAATTTATGGCGACACAATCAAGGGGTTTTCTGAGCAAAATTTGTATCGGGGAAATTTGTCTTTGCCCTCCTCTGAGTTTAAACTTCCATATAAAATCCAGATTATTTTATTTGAACTGTATTAGATGGCAGTGTGGACTCAGATCATCCAATTCCAAGCAAATAATCTGGGTTATCTGTTTTGATATCTGGATATACCGCCTGTTAGAACAGGCCTGAGGCCCCTTCCATACAGCCAAATAAAATCCCACATGATCTGCTTTGAACTGGAATATATGGCAGTGTGGACTCAGATAAACCAGTTCAAAGCAGATATTGTGGGATTTTCTGCCTTGATATTCTGGGATTATATGGCTATGTGTGGAAGAGAGTGTGACTATGTTGCATACAGTGTAGAATCAATGCTGTTTGACACCACTTTACCTGCCCTGGCACAATGTTATGGAATAATTGGATCTGTAGTTTGGTGAAGCACCAGCAATGTTTGGCAGAGAAGACTAAAAATCTGGTAATTCCAGAGCACTGAGCCATGGCAATGAAAGTTATGTCTAACTGTGGCCCCTTCCACAGAGCTAAATAAATCCCCACATTATCTCCTTTGAACTGGAATACATGGCAGTGTGGATTCAGATAACCCAGTTCAAAGCAGATATTGTGGGATTTTCAGCCTTGATATTCTGGGTTATATGGCTGTGTGGAAGGGCCCTTAATTAATTCCACAGTGTAGATTTTCCATACTGACTTTTCCTCCTCTCTGCTGAAAAGGGTGCATTGACTCAAGAAAACATCCAGCAATTGACTTTTAGTTTCAAATATTTCATACTTCCTTAGTAATTATCTCTCTGCTATGCAACTAGGGAAAATCAATTTTTCAAAACCAGAAAGTGGAGCCCTGGCCACTTCCGCTTATGTTTTTCAGGCAGACCACAAAGGCTCTGGGGGAATTTTAAAAATTATCCCTCACCCCAGTCCACCCCTGTTGTGATATAAACAAGATATTTGAGGCTTGGTTGTGTTTAGAAAATGATTCTCTTCATCTCTGTATGGAAGAAAGACATTTTTTTTCAGTGCAAGGAAGCAAATATCTGGGCCTTAGGGCCCTTCCACTCAGAATATCAAGGCAGAAAATCCCACATTATCTGCTTTGAACTGGGTTATCTGAGTCCACACTCAAAAATGTGGCATTTTCTGCCTTGATATTCTGGGATATAGGGATATAAATGTCCTTTTAAGGACATTTTAAAGGCTACAATATAGTTATTTTTAAAGCACCACAGCCTTCTCTTTTCCCTCCTAAGGTGTGAAAAGTAATGAGGAAATAAGAAAGGGCAGAAGGACAAGGGAAATCATACAATGTAGAATTATGGCAGCTTAACATCGCTTAAGACCCTTCCACACAGCTCAATAAAATCCCATATTATCTGCTGTGGACTCAGGGCCCTTCCACACAGCCATATAACCCAGAATATTAAGGCAGATAATGTACAATATTTGCTTTGAACTGGGTTATCTGAGTCCAAACTCAGATAATCCAGTTCAAAGCAGACATTGTGGGATTTTTCTGTCGATATTCTGGGATATAGGGCTGAGTAGAAGAGCCCCCAGATCAAAGCAGATATTGTGGGATTTTCTGCCTTGATATTCAGGGTTATATAGCTGTATGGTGAATGAATTAGAACCAGACATCCTGAGGAGTGAGGTTGAATGGGCCTTAAGAAGCATTGCTAACAACAAGGCAGCAGGAGACGACGGGATCCCAGCTGAACTGTTTAAAATCTTAAAAGATGATGCTGTCAAGGTGATGCATGCCATATGCCAGCAAATATGGAAAACACAAGAATGGCCATCAGACTGGAAAAAATCAACTTATATCCCCATACCAAAAAAGGGAAATGCGAAAGACTGCTCAAACTTCCGTACAGTGGCCCTAATTTCTCATGCCAGTAAGGTAATGCTCAAGATCCTGCAAGGAAGACTCCAGCAATACATGGAGCGAGAGTTGCCAGATGTTCAAGCTGGGTTTAGAAAAGGCAGAGGAACGAGAGACCAAATTGCCAATATCCGCTGGATAATGGAGAAAGGCAGGGAGTTTCAGAAAAACATCTACTTCTGATTCATTGACTATTCTAAAGCCTTTGACTGTGTGGATCATAATAAATTGTGGCAAGTTCTTGGTGGGATGGGCATCCCAAGCCACCTTGTCTCTCTCCTGAGGAATCTGTACAAGGACCAAGTAGCAACAGTCAGAACTGACCACGGAACAACAGACTGGTTCAAGATTGGGAAAGGCGTACGGCAAGGCTGCACACTCTCACCCAACCTTTTTAACTTGTATGCAGAACACATCATGCGATGTGCGGGGCTGGATGAATGCAAAGCTGGGGTGAAAATTGCTGGAAGAAACATTAACAACCTCAGATATGCAGATGACACCACTCTGATGGCCGAAAGCGAGGAGGAGCTGAGGAGCCTTCTAATCAAGGTGAAAGAAGAAAGCGCAAAAGCCGGGTTGCAGCTAAATGTCAAAAAAAACC